GTCAGGGTGGTGTTCCCACCGGGAATGGGGCCGTCAGGGTGGTGTTCCCACCGGGAATGGGGCCGTCAGGGTGGTGTTCCCACTGGGAATGGGGCCGTCAGGGTGGTGTTCCCACCGGGAATGGGGCCGTCAGGGTGGTGTTCCCACCGGGAATGGGGTCGTCAGGACGGCGTTCCCACCGGGAATGGGGCGTCAGGGTGGTGTTCCCACCGGGAATGGGGCCGTCAGGGCCGCGTTCCCACTGGGAATGGGACCATCAGGGTGGTGTTCCCACCAGGAATGGGGCCGTCAGGGTGACGTTCCCACCGGGAATGGGGCCATCAGGGCGGTGTTCCCACTGGGAATGGGACCATCAGGGTAGTGTTCCCACTGGGAATGGGGCCGTCAGGGCGGTGTTCCCACCGGGAATGGGGCCATCAGGGTGGTGTTCCCACCCGGGATGGGGTTGTCAGGGCAGCATTCCCACCGGGAATGGGGCCGTCAGGGTGACATTCCCACCGGGAATGGGGCCATCAGGGTGGTGTTCCCACTGGGAATGGGACCATCAGGGTAGTGTTCCCACCGGGAATGGGGCCGTCAGGGTGACATTCCCACCGGGAATGGGGCCGTCAGGGTGGTGTTCCCACCGGGAATGGGGCCGTCAGGGTGGTGTTCCCACCCGGAATGGGGCTGTCAGGGTGACATTCCCACCCGGAATGGGGCTGTCAGGGTGACATTCCCACTGGGAATGGGACATTCAGGGCGGCATTCCCACCCAGAATGGGGCTGTCAGGGTGACATTCCCACTGGGAATGGGGCCATTAGGGCAGCATTCCCACCCGGAATGGGGCCGTCAGGGCAGCATTCCCACCCAGAATGGGGCTGTCAGGGCGGTGTTCCCACTGGGAATGGGGCCGTCAGGGTGGTGTTCCCACCGGGAATGGGGCCGTCAGGGCCGCGTTCCCACCGGGAATGGGGCCGTCAGGGCGGTGTTCCCACCGGGAATGGGGCCGTCAGGGTGGTGTTCCCACCCGGAATGGGGCCGTCAGGGTGGTGTTCCCACCGGGAATGGGGCTGTCAGGGCGGTGTTCCCACCCGGAATGGGGCTGTCAGGGCGGTGTTCCCACCCGGAATGGGGTTGTCAGGGTGACATTCCCACTGGGAATGGGGCCATCAGGGCAGCAGGGACACCCACCTGGCCAGGTAGAGGGGCTTGGTGGGGTCGTCGGGGCTCACGGACACGCAGTCTCCCACCTCCAGGGTCTCGTTGTCGATGCAGACCCGTTGGTAGTAATCCTTCTTCCCGTCGCTCTGCGGGGCCAGGGGGTGGTTACACCCACCCGGGGGGCAGGGGGTGGTTACACCCACCCAGGGGGGCAGATACACCCACCCAGGGGGGCAGATACACCCACCCA